GTTAGCAGCAAAAGGCAGCCACAAATTGAACACCTTTGAAGTCCCATGTGAAGAAAGCTTGAGGTGCAGCAAAAGAAGTATGGGATGGAGTTGATTCCAACCACACTAGCATAGACAAGATGAGGTGGGAGTTATGGGTTGTATTAAAAGAGGAATGGTGGTGTTGGAATTCATTATGATGTTCCTCCCTCTTAGCCCTATAAATAGAGAAGTCTTCAAGCTTCATAAAACACACCCCAAGGGGGGAGCTCTCAAACACTTCTCTAGAGCTCCCTTCCCTTCTCTCCCTCACATTTTCTTAGTTTCCTTTCAAGTTGTCAATTGTTGTAACAAAATAATTTTATTAAATTTTCCTTCAAGTCTTCAAGTTCTACTTTAATTTTATTTGTAATGTACATTCTTTCTGAAGTATTCAAGTTTAATTAGTTTCCAAGTTTCAATTATGGTTTTTGTTCTTATTCATTATGCTTATAAGTTAATATGCTAGTTTGAATGATTGATCACCATTTAGGCTTGCATGTTAGCTATCTTGGTTTGAATTAAGAGTAGACACCATGCTTTAATTCGAATTGAACTATGAATAGGAAGAGTATGTATGGATATTCGACAACAGGGATTAGATACATACTTGGTTATTTAAATTGTTCTTCTATGCTTAATGGGTTCCTAATGCTTAATTTTAGGTTAGACAACAAATGATCAAATTAGGGAATTAGGAACACAAGGTTAGGACCAAACACCATGGCTTAATCATACTTTAGCTAGAATCAATCCGTTAATCTAATTGAACTTGGGAACTTATTTGCTTGAGTTATTTCCTTTTTTTCTTGTTTTATTTATTTTCTTTTTCATTTCTGTTTTGTGTAAGGGAAATGAATTGGATCATTCAATCACCAATCCTCGTGGGATCGACCTCACACTTACATATGCTATACTACCAAACGGCTCGTGCACTTGCGAGTATCACAAGTTGAGGATGCAGCTGAATCTATTTTGGTGCAGATGAATCGACGCAACAGTGGACAAACTAAAATATACTAATTCAAGGTGGTTGTCAATTAGGTTTGCTGACAAGATTAGGAAAAATCCTGAGTGGGATGTAGGGGCATTCTAGTCTGAGGTATTGGAAAAGTACCATATGAATGTTTCAAGGCATCATATTTATATAGCAAAGAGCTTGTCCAAGGTGATCATTGAAGGAAGCTATGTGGAGCAATATGCGAGGCTATGGAACTATGCAGAAGAATTGAAGAAGGCTAACAAGGGCAGCACTGTGATTATAAAGAATAAGATGAATGGTTATGTACCTGTGTTTCAAAGAATTTATGTATGTTTGGAAGCTTGTAAGAGTGGATTTTTGGCAGGATGTAGACCTCTCATTGGTATAGATGGATGCCATTTAAAGGGACCTTACACATGGCAAGTTTTAACAGCCGTTGGTGTTGATGGGAATAATGGAATGTACCCAGTTGCTTATGCTGTTGTAGAGGTGGAATCAAAAAGTAGTTGGATTTGGTTCCTTGAACTTTTGATTGCAGACTTAAAAATTGAGAATGGGAAAGCTTGGGTGTTTATAAGTGACAAGCAAAAAGGTATAATACCTGCAATTGAGACATTGCTTCCAACAGCTGAGCACAGAATGTGTGTTAGGCATATCTACAGCAACTTCAGGACAAAGCATGCTGGACTTGCACTGAAAAACATTTTCTAGGCTGCGGCAAGAGCAACTACCATTCCCTGGTATGAAGCAGAAATGGAGAAGATGAAACAGCAAGATGAAGGGGCATGGAAGTGGCTTATCAAAAGACCAGCCAAAAATTGGAGTCGATCTCATTTTGAGCCGGATTCTAAGTGTGATCTGTTGTTGAACAACCTCTGTGAATCCTTTAACTCTTGCATTTTAGATTCAAGAGACAAGTCTAACTTAACATGTCTTGAAAGGATTAGAGTTTATATCATGTTAAGAATGGCTAATAGAAGGATTGCTTGTACGGTTTGGAGACATCCAGTTGGGCCTAGGATTTTCAAGATCATTGAGAAGAACAAGTTGGGAGCTAGTCAATGCATTCCTAGATTAGCAGGTGAGAGCAAATACCAAGTGAGCCATATGTATGGGGGAGAGTATGTAGTGGATCTAAAAGCCAAGACTTGTTCTTGTAGAAGATGGGATTTGTGTGGGATCCCATGTTCTCATGCTATTTCTTGTATCTTTCAAAAGGAGGCCAATGTGTTTGACTATGCACATGACTGTTATAAGAAAGAAGCCTATCTGAGTTCATATGAACCTATGGTACATCCAATACCATCCATGGACCAGTGGCAGAGAACAAATTGGCCTCCAATTAAACCTCCTCCATATAAGAAGCAACCTGGAAGACCCAAGAAATCAAGGAACAAAGAACCAGCTGAGGTCGAAGTACCTGCTCCAGTTCCTCCAAACCCTTTGCCCCCATTTTACAATCCACCACCTACTAAGTTGAGAAGGATTTATGTAAAGGTAAGATGCTCTGTTTGTGGCCAGGAGGGACATAATAAGACATGGCATGAGAACCAAGGGGCAGCTCAGATATTTAGGCCCTTCCTAATTTCTTTTTGTTCTGTAGGCCTAACTAAGGAACATTTTACCCTGCTTTTTGTTATTGTTTAGTTTATTTATTTAATTTTTTATTTATTTTTTAGGCCCAGCATAATCAGCCCAACCCAACTATAGGCAGAGGGAGAGGAAATGGGAGAGGACAAATGCCAATTGGAACTGGAAATGGAGGAGGAAATGTAAGTGACAACTCTGTCAAATTTAATTCTTGTACTTTGGTTAGTTAATATGGTTCCATTTTATTTTAGGTTGGAAATGGGACAACAGAAATGCCCAACAAGCCATCGTCATCACAACCCCTCCCATCATCACAGCCACTCTCTTATACTGGAGCTACATCATCGTCATCACAACCACCCAACATTGCTGAGGTTGCCTCACAACCATCAAAGTCTCCTGCTAAGAGATTCAAGTCTCCTGCCCAGAAGCTTAGACCATGGATGTGGTGAAGAAAACTAGGAGGATGTGTTATTTGAACTAGATGGATGTGTTTTTTGAACTAGTTGGATGTGTTTCGTCAACATGTTAGTTATGAATGGTTTGTTGGATGTGGTTTTTGAGTCTTTGGGCTGGAACTTAGTGTGGATGTTTTGTAGGGGATGTTTTGTATTTGGTACATTTTGTGGATGTTTTGTATTTGGTACATTTTGGAACCTGAACTGGGTGTTTATGTTCTTCTATCTTTATGCTTGTGTTTCACTTGGAACTTGATTTGGTAGATTTTGGAACCTGTAACTGGTTGTTATATATGCTGAAGAAATTGTTTTATATTTCTCACACCTCTTGATTGACACCCACTACTTTTTGTCCAGCTTTTCTATATTTGTTCATATCACAATTATCCACTCATGCCCTCTCATCAACAAAATGGAAACAAATTGATTACACCAACACCAATATGTCCACCAAACTGAAACTGAAATTTCATTGCAAAATGAACTACATATCGGTTACATTTCCACCTAATTGATCATACGCCTTTTAGAGTTTCCACCAGGAAATGTCAACCAATTGCTCAAGATACAGAACATCATCATAATCACCAAAAACCCAAGACCCATTGACAGAAATGAAACCCCCCAAATCCGATTCTCTCTTGGTCGTTGGCCCATTCTGTTCTCTTCCAATACTCTTTTCTGCTTGCCTAATTCTCCAACTTTGTACTCCAATTCCTTCTTTTCTCTCTCCACCATTTTCAGCTTATCTTCCACTTCTTTCTTCTGTTCTTCTATTAACTTTAGGTCCTCTTCCATTGCTCTCATTCTTCTCAGCAACCCAGGAATTAGTTCTTTTCCTCTTGCACAGGTCGTTGCTTCCAGCCATTCCCAATGATGCCCATTTCCTCTGCTTCTCTGCAAAGTATGTTTTCTAACATCAAAGCTAAACCCATCAAGCAACAAAATCAAATTTCACAGATCCACTTACTCGACTCATCTCACAAGCCTCAAATCTTCTCCCAGGATTTAAATCAGTCCATGAAGTCCAGGTTTTGATATATCCCCCGCACCTGCATAGCTTCCTTGCACTAGGGCTCTGACTTGTTGATGAAGAGGAAATCTGCGACATCTTTGCGCATGTACTGTGTGGGCTTCGCCAGATTTCTTTGAATTTCCAAAAATTTCAACACATCTACTGTTTTTATGTGGATTTCATCGAATATAAATGGGAATTGGGGATTTATTTGGCGCCAGATTCGACATTTTTCGGAGGGAAGTTACTTTAGATGGGTTGGTGGACATTGTAGACTTGAAAAGACATATTTACCCTTCAAATTGACGCCACATTAGAGAGAATTGACGGAAGGACTACTGGTGCAACGGAACACAGAGTTGAGTGACCCCCGCAACTAATAATTGAATTGATGGACCAAAGTGTAACTATGGGTATAGTTGAGGGACCATTGCTGCGAATAACCCTAAAAAATATTACCGACGAGGTCATCCTAGGTCTACCTTTTATAGCCCTACTTTACCTCTTCAAAGTAGAATATGACAGAGTCACTTCTACCCATATGGGAGAAAAGGTTAAATTTGAATTTTTAACGAGACCAGAGTTACATGCCTTAAAGGCCCTCCAAAAATGTGCCGTCTCAACACGAGAAAGTTACCAGACGGCCTAAGTTTGTTGTACTAAGGAAAGTATTGATAGTATTGTAGCAATCAATTAATGTCTCTATTGAGTCCACTTTTTGTGAACTGCGCAGGAATATTGCACACAGTCATATATGTGTTTGGCTTTCCCTGTGCAACTGCATTAATGATATACAAATGGAAAAGGAGGCATTTGTCAATGCATGACAATATAGAAGACTTTTTGCATAACAATAAGCTCGTGCTAGTAGGGTACTCTTACTCAAACATAAAAAAGATGGCCAAAGGTTTCAAGGAAAAATTGGGTGAAGGAGGCTATGGCTCTGTATACAAGGCAACAGCTTCGTAGCGGTCGCCTTGTTGCCATCAAGATTTTGGGTAATTCCAAAGCTAATGGGCAAGACTTCATCAATGAAGTTGCAACCATTGGAAGGATTCACCATGTTAACGTGGTGCAACTCATTGGCTTTTGTGTTGAGGGTTCAAAGCGTGCTCTCGTATACGATTTCATGCCTAATGAATCTCTTGATAACTACTTATTTTCTCAACAGGGAGGTATCTCTTTGAATTGTGAGAAAATGTTTGAAATTGCGCTTGGAGTGGCTTGTGGTATTGAATATCTGCACAGAGGATGTGAAATGCAAATTCTGCACTTTGACATCAAACCTCATAACATTCTTCTTGACGAGAATTTTCTTCCCAAGGTGTCTGGTTTTGGATTAGCAAGGCTATGCCCACTCGATAATAGCATTGTATCTTTATCAGCAACAAGAGGAACTATTGGATACATAGCACCAAAGTTATTCTGTAAAAACACTGGAGGTATTTCATACAAAGCTAATGTCTATAGTTTTGAAATGATGTTCATGGAAATGGTTGGCAGAAGAAAGAATTTAAATGCAACCATAGAGAAGTCAAGCCAAATATACTTTCCAACATGGGTTTTTGACCAATTGAGTGAAGGAAAGGACATAAAAGTTGAAGACGCCACAAAGGAGGAAAAGAATATCATAAAGAAGATGATCATTGTGGCATTGTGGTGCATAGAAATGAAGCCTAGTGACCGTCCTTCTATGAATAAAGCAGTTGAGATGCTTGAAGGAGAAATTGAGAGCCTTGAAATGCCTCCAAAGCCTTGAAATCCTGGGGACAATTCAAGTACTACAAGTGCATCAACAGTTACAAATTCTACAGAAATCGTTTTGATTGCTGATGCGAATCAAACAATGTAATATATAGCAATCTTGATGTGCAAGGGAGATTACGTAATGAATAAGCACAATTAGACTTCTATTTGCTGCCTTTGTTTACTACATTTGGAAGGAAATAAATTGTAGGATTTTCAAACGCTTCTTGCCCCCTTGCTGTAACACTCATATTTTAGGATTTTCAGTAATTGGAGAATTCTATTAGGTATGATGTGCTCTATAGAGTGTTTAAACCTCACCTGCTAACTCCTATCTTCTTGCAGATTGGAAGATCCCTATGAGCTAATTGCTTTTTGGGTTTGTTGCTAACTCCTATCTTCTTGCAGATTGGAAGATCCCTATGAGCTAATTGCTATTTGGGTTTGTTGTATTGTTAGCTTGGGATTGTCTTCTATTGGTAGGACTGCCCCTTTGTGTTTCCTTGTTTGGTCATATGACCCTGTTGTTATTTGCACTAAGGGATTTGCCCTCCTTGTTAATACATTCATTTAATTACAAAAAGAATAAATAAAAAAACAAGTCCATTTATTCTATCAAGTGCTTTTACAATTCTACACTCAAAGAAAACACTTTGAAGCTAGAATTACATTTAGATAGTGCAAGTAGCAGTTTCCCCAATATATTGCAAATGGGGCAGCAGGTCAAAACCACTAAACCCTCAAGGCTCAAGCTAAGCTGATTCACAATGGAATCATACAAATATTGTCTTACCCCCTACACCACTAAAGTTTGTCCACCTTCATATCAAGCTAATTTGAACTACAAAAGTTTATGTATAATCTAAAATGAAAAAGTTACAAGCTCAAATCAAATTGTATTCATGCCTTCAAACACATTCATGAGAAACATGATAGAAGTAGCTCCCCTTTGCTGAAGGTCTATTAGCTTAAGGATCTTCAGGTTCTTCATCCTTATCTTCTGCATCCACCCACCACGAAACAGGGCCCAAACCGTCAAAATCAATTGATCCCTGCAAAATAGGAAACTTAATTGGAGGCTCACAGAATTCATTAGAAATCTACTTGCCAAAAGAGAACCCTCATTTAATTTGAACAAAGATGTAACAAAAGAATTAGTGTAACTCTACATAAAGGAATTAGCACAAATTTTAAAGGGAACAGAAGTTTCACAAAGCAGCATTTTTGCAATAGTTACATTGCCTATGGAGAATTGTAGAGAACTCTAGATCAAGTGATGACCACCAGTCGTATGATAAGATTCAAAGCATAAACTTACTGTAACCACCATAGGGGCAAATGGTTTTGAGTCTTCTGGCTGCTCAATTGGAATTGGAGGAAAGTTCACACTGTGAACTTGGAATTTTATCTGCCATTTGGAACTAAAAGTTAGCATAAACTTAGGCACCAGAAATTTGAGTATGTATGGATAAATCAAACCACAACAATATGAACCTCGTCTATCCCATCAATAACAAGTTCTTCATCTGAATCAGGAAACTTCCATATCCACACGACTCTATCCCTGTAATCGTCAGCAAATATTACAAACTACAAATTAAAGGGTGTTTAAAAATATATCAATATACAAGAATTCATGCAGGATTATAAATATAACGCTCTATTTGTACTTATATCAACCAGACACGGAAGGGATGGTCACCTCTTTCCTGGGTCAGGCACTGAATGGGATGGAACAGGCAAAAGATGAACAGGTACATAAATATCATCGAAAAATTCAAGGGACACTGCCATTTAAAGATTCAAAATCAGACTATGGGTAAAACATAGATATGCTTCCTTATCAAAGAGGAGTCCATCAATGCATAGAGTGAGAATTGCTTGCACCAAAGAGAAACTAAGAAGGAAAAACTAAATGAGACGTAGAATTAAGCTACACTCAGTTAATCTCAGTAGAATACATACGACGTAAACCATTTGCAGTAGATTCTTTAAGTTTTGCAACAATTATCTCTCCCACAAATGGACGAAACATAATCAGTGTGAACTCTACCTGCCAATTGTTGAAAAAGGGGAAAAATAAAACAAGAAACTCTAGAAAGGAAGAAGAAGAACATTGCATAGTGCATACTCAAATGAAAGGAGTATTTTGACATTAATTTCTCTGGTAATCATCTCTGCAAATCAGACATTAATTTAAGCTGAAAATCTTAATTTAGTCTAAATGCCTAACAGTCACCATTAAGTGTAAAAAGCAAATACTCAGCCTATACCAGTGATACTCACTCTCAAGGTAATTAGGTACTTCAATTTCATAGAGAAGAAGACAGGCCCTAGTCGTCAGTTTTGTCACCCACAGGGAATGAAGTAAATCAATCTGAGAACCGAGAAGAAATCCAAGCGAAAAGATTTAAAGGAACCTATGTCATAGTAATGGGTAAGAGAAAAGAAGCTGTCCACTTCTTTCTTGATTCCTTTTTTCTAGGATAAGGGTAGCAGTGGGGTTAGATCTCAAGAGCTTGTTGCTCTGATTCCATGTTTCCGAAAAACAAAACAAACAAAATTAGGATATAGAGAAGAAGATCGTTGTATATTACATATTATCATATCAAATGAAGGTAGAGTACATTAATTTATGAAGGATCCAGGGAATAAATTCTCCGCTAATCAGCAGCTCCCATTTAAGCTAACAATCAGCCATTAAGTAATCAATTTAACAAGTAATAAATGGCTAGCTAGCAGGCATGCACTGACTAACAAGTAATGAATTCTAATTACACATAAGAGATATCAATCTTCTGCGGCCAGTGCACGAAGAACAATGATACGCTTCCTCGTTTCGAAATCATTTTAAATCGAAAACTCTTACTCAAACAACCAAACAAAACTCGTTTGTGTTCTCATACAACAAATAATCACATAACTCAAAGTCAGTTAAAAAATCAAAATCAAGTAGTTCAAAGCATTCCTTACACAGAAGTATTTGATCAAATATGACAAATTTGATTAAAACCCATCAAACCCTGATCAGAGATAAAGTAAAAAATGCCAATCTTTCAATCAAGACCTGTACAAAACCACTAGACCACAATGGAAGACCAATCATCAAAATAGATGCAATCACCAAATTTAAAAATTATAAGTTAGAGCATCTACAATGGGCTCCCTAAACCAACTCTTTACACAAATTTAAGGGAGCAATTGGAAAAATACAACTCCTACCATGCTCCCTATCTACCTCCTAAAATAGAGAGATCTCTAGGAGCTCCTAAATCTAAGAAGAGAGAAAGGACTCCTAGTGGCTCCCTATAATTTAATGCTCAATTACATTAATAGTATTTTAACCATTTATTTAATGCCAACTATTTTTTGTTGTTGCTTTTGTGTCTATACTTTATTCAGAAATTGAATTAAAAGCATTTATGACTATAAATTATGGGGTATGGTTGGAGTTGAAATTTTATAGAGAGCTCCTAAAATAGTTTTATAGTGTTTTTAGCTAAATTTAAACTAAAAAATAGAGAGCATGATTGTGGATGCTCTTACAGAATGACACTTAATGCCAGTGCATTGAAAACTAAACAAGTACGCTCTAAAAGCCATTACATTCTCCCTCAAAACTATTTGAGTGAAACATGTTACAAATGAAAATCCACAACTTTATTATAATCCAAAGCAGCTCCAACAAAATTTATTCCACTACACACCTAAAAGCACGAGTATAGTTCTTATTAGAAAACTAAACCAACCATTAACTCCTAATGCGACCCAATATCCTCTCCGAAACCATTAAATCTTTACCACCCAGCAGCTAAAACACCAAAGTTTCCCAATTTTCTTCGGAAACCAAAAACAAAAAACCAACAAAAGCAATCCACAAACAAGCGAAATTACCTGACCAAAACAAGCCTACTTAAGCACACCATTATCACCAATCAACAAACAAAATTTGGATATAGAGAAGAAGATCACTATCTATTGCATATTAAACTAAAGGCCTAATAATCTGTATCAAAGATATTAACTATTTAGATTGGCAGTTCTCATACACCGCACAGTTTAACCGGAAATAAATTGAGGTATCTTACAATTGAAAATTGGAAACAATATGAATAAGAATAATAAAATGGATTAAAGCAAGCAAGCTGATTCCACTTATACAAACTAAAACAACCTAAATTTGAACAAAACAGAATTTACCAAATGCACTTTATAGTCATAAAATTGAGAAGAGTAAGGTAAACAAATATATACCCTAAAAGTTGGATGACCATCATTAGGTAAGATAAAGCCATCTTTAATGGATTGGATAGTATGCACAGAAATGCAAAGTCCCAAGTTGGCGATAACCTACAAGGAACATCATCATAGTGAATCAAAGTAAAAACATTGTGAATAAGAAACAAATGGCAAAATTCAAAATATGTATCAGGCCACAAACCTTATCTAAGAAAAGCTTCTCAAGCTCTCCCCTGACTGCATCTTCTAGACAAAGGCTAAGCAGATGAGGAGGCAGCCGCAGAGTGTGCTCAATTCGGCTGAGGTAGAACATCTGGGTTGTATTCTAAATTATATTCCAAAATCAAGTATGCACAAATTAAAGTCGCAGATTTTGGGCAAAGAATGCAATGTTAAATACCAACAAATTCAAGCATAATTGAAAAAAATTACCAGCCTCAATTTCCAACAATAGCAACTAGCGCCCTAATATGAACAGTTGTTGTATTTGTTATTTTCAGTTGCTGTTTTATTTTGTATTTTCGGTTGCTGTTTTATTTGTTATTTTCAGTTGCTGTTTTATTTTGTATTTTTGGTTGCGGTTTCATTTTTTATTTTTGGTTGCAGTTTGTTTTATTTGTAGTTTACAGAAAACCGTCTGAAAATTAATTTGTTTCAATGTTAATGCTTATTGTTTCATTTTTTGGTTGCTTAAAAAAGAAGGAAAAAGCAACCAAAAATACAAAATAAAACAGCAACTGAAAATAACAAATAAAACAGCAACCTAAAATACAAAATAACACCGCAACTGAAAATCTATCTATATATATAAAGCAAAAGGAAGAGAATGGTGAAACATTCAAAAACCCCAAATATGCCCTTTGTCAAAGAAAAAATTAAAAGCACACAATTTTAATTAAAAGAGGGTGAAATAGTAAAACGCCATTGATTTATAAAAAAAAGAAAAAGGAAATTGTGTTGTGCTTAACTCGCAGGAGAAGACGGTTGCCTAGAAAAGAAGAAGAGCTGAAGAACGTGGAGAAAAAATCCATGGGTTCAGAACCCACGAAGCTGGCGGTTTCCACAATTTCAGAACCATCACAATCATGTTACTTATATTTTCTTCCTCCACTTTACTAGCACCCTTTTCTGCTTCAGAAATCGAAATTGCGAGTAACCACAGTGTACAGACTGGTCAGACCCAAAAACCTTCCTTTCTCATTCCACCCCACACCTGCTACCCCGTTCGAGCCCGTCACTGTTCCATTCGATCAAAGTTTGCGCGGCAACGCCGTCGATTTGCCCGAGTCCGATCACCGAGTCCGTCGCCGAGTTAAAGGTTTAGAGCCTGAGCAGATTTCTGTTTCGCTTTCAGCCAATTACGACTCTGTTTGGATCTCCTGGGTTACAGGTTTTGATTTTGTTTTGTTTTATATTTTTGGATTTTGTACTTGGGTTTACAGCTGTAAGCTTTAAGCTTTATCGTAAATGGAATTTCTTGGCTTTGCAATTGAAAAGTTCATGAATTTTTGTTGCAGGGGAATCGCAAATTGGCTACAAGATAAAGCCATTGGACCCCAAAAGTGTGGCAAGTGTTGTTCGTTATGGGAAGCTGAGATATCCACCAACGCATGAAGCAGTGAGTTCCGCAAATCTTCTGCTTCTTTGAATTTTGTCGGTTTGCAATTGGGTTTCAGTTTCTTATAAATTTTTAATTTTTTTTCTGGGATTAATCTCTCTCTCTCTCTCTCTCTCTCTGTGAAAATAGATGCTCATTGAGCAACCCACAATCTAACAGTGGGATCTTTACTTCTCTCTCTCTCTCTGTGAAAATAGATGCTCATTGAGCAACCCACAATCTAACAGTGGGATCTTTACTTCTCTCTCTCTCTCTCTCTCTCTAATTTTTGGTTCCTGATAGAATTTTTGCTTCAATTTCTGCTCTTTCTTCATTGAATATCTCTAATTTTTGGATCCTAATGGAATTTCTTTGATTATATATGTTGTTTCTCCAGAGCACCAATGAAGAAAGCATTTAGATTTGATGGGTTTGATGTCAATGGTATGCATCTCTCTCTCTCTTTAGCTTTTGCTTTCCCCCTGTGCGTTCATAGTCAGATTTGGTAATTTTATGCTAACCCCCTAGAAAGCATACATATATTGCTCATGTTTCCGTATATGCACACACATAGAGTGAGAGTGCCACGAAGACAATTTGAATAAATGGACAGAGATGGAGAAATTGAACATCTAATAGAAATACACGATTGCCTTTGTATTCCTAAATTTACTGTGTGTCAGTATAATTGCAAATACAACAATGTCCTTGAAGTGAATGCATTGCAGTAGATGAAACAATCACCTTAAATGATATGATATTATATGTACTCTTTCACATTCTCTCTCTGTGGCCAAAAAAGAAAAAATTCTTCATTTTGTCAATATCTTAAGGATAAGAAAACTTTATGTGGTGATTTTATACCTCGCCGATGCGTTGGCACTCATAATTCCAGCAAAACTGAAAAAGCAAAATTCAAGAACTTCAGCTCTGCGAAACATCGGGGAAAAAAGAACAGACAGCAGTGAAAATCATACTATTTTCATACTAGAACGTAAAAATGGGATTATTATGTATTCAAGCAGGTTAATTACTGAAGAATTCTTTTGTAGTTACACTGTTAGAATCCTGAAATTGAAGTATTTGCGTCAAGTTGGTTTGTTGGTTGTATTTTGAGGCTATGTAATTATGTGGTTATTGTACTTCATTCTAATTATTGTTTATTTATTTTTTTTAGTATGAATCATAGTTAAGCAGTCATCCAATTGCTTCAGGTATGACTTATGAAAATTAACAAGTTTTTCAAATCTACATGTCTTATTGAAACTTTGGAATTTTATCTCAACAGATTCAATCGTCTCTCACCTCTCTAACGTATAAGCAATCACTGAAGCAAAGAAGCAAAGATAACTTTCAGGTTAATGTTTCTTCATTTTGTTTTATTGAAATTTTTTTTTTCTTTTGGGTTCCCTCAAAATTCCTTCACAAAATGCGACTTGGCTCTACTACTACGTGTTTTCTGCTCTCTTTCTTTCTGTTTTTTTTTCCTTGATTTAATCTCAGGCTTTCATGAAATTTTGATTGTTTCAGGAGAGCTTGGGTACGAAATCCAAATACGAGAATCAGTCGTGAGCCCAAATTGTCTAACCATTCTTCGCTTTACTCTCTTTCTAGCAGTCGTGAGCTTGGGTATGAAATTTACTCTCTTTCTAGCAGGTTTTACCATACTGTGTGTAGCTAGCAGGTTTTACCGTACTGTGTTAATTTTTTGGCACTGCCTCACTGTCATAATAATCAGTATTGTCGTTTTGAGATGCATTGAGAATGAATTTGGTTGATCTTTCAGTCAAGTTAATAGGACCACAATCATAACTTGAACAAAACAGATAAGTCTATCTGACAGGGATAACCTGTAGATTCAGCAGTGGAAAAGGCTTTCCTCTACCAGTTTAGTAGAACCTTATAAAATTTCCAGATTCCCTTTCTAAAATCTGTTAGTTTTCACCCTGACTCTATTGAGTTAATTCCCGAATCCCTGTCCCTTGGTCAATGGCTCAGGTTTTGGTGGTAACCATCCATTTAGGATTCTAAAAGGCCCAAGGTTCAATTGTTTCCAAGCAAAGAACATAAAGATTGACAAGTTTCCATAACGTTTTCTAATGTTCTTACACATGCATGTACCATTTCTGCAGGCAAATCTGAGCAACGCTCTCTTGGAAGGTGCACTTTCCACAGGCAACACATCTTTCAAAGGATCAAACATTACGAGTGCAGGTAATAAATTTGCTCAATCATGATATTTTTGATAGCCTTGACTTAGCCCTTATCATTAGGAACTTCATCTCAAGGTGTGCTTGAATCCATGGGAGTTGTGTTTAGTACTACTAAAATGAGAGTGTCCACTATTATTTGGGTTAAATTGGGAAATTTGTTATATACCTTGGTGGTTGTTTATACCTTTTGCTTGACTTACAAGCTGTTTTTAGATTGTTTTGTTTATCTGATTAGCTGTGTAACTTAGGATGGTGTTGGTTTTCAGGCAAACTGACTAAAAAAATGGGTTTAGATTTTCGTATAAAACAAATGACAAATATAAAAAAAGCAATGCAAACTAATACAAGAAGGCATTCAAGTTAAAAACTTCACTTAGGAAATG